TAGATAGATTGTGACTATATAGGATAGTTTTTAATAATAAAGTGTTTTGAACATTCAACTGGTGTGACTATATAGTAGAATGTGACTATAACGGGAGTGACTATAGAGGGAGTTGACTGTATTAATGAATTTCGGTTAACCAGAAAAAGTAAGTTAAAGTATTTTCAAAAAAAAAATAGATAAAGTTTGAACTTTGAAAATACGTATGTTTTATACTAAATATTATAAAGTCGATCTATTTTTTGGACAATTTTGTCCACTAATTTCGTAATATATCTTTTTGGACAATTTTGTCCACTTATTTATCTCAACTCGCGTATATATCAATTTTGTCCAACTTATTTATTCCAACTCGCGTAATATATCTTTTTGGACAATTTTGTCCACTTATTTCGTAATATATCTTTTGGAAAATTTTGTCCACTTATTTCGTAATATATCTTTTGGAAAATTTTGTCCACTTATTTCGTAATATATCTTTTTGGACAATTTTGTCCACTTATTTATCCCAACTCGCATAATATATCTTTTTATTTTTTAAAATTAAATCATTTGTTATATCTTATATGCTGCGTACAATTATTTATCCCAATTTACGTAATATATCTTTTGGACAATTTTGTCCACTTTACATAATATTAAAAAAGAATTATAAATCCCAAAATAAAACTTTTTAATTGTAATAAAAATTTTGCAATTTGCATTTCATAATCTACTGCGTATACCTAATTTTACGTTCTGCAATTTAATCTAAATAATAAAAATAATAATCTGTATTATGCCCATTCGATATACTCACTTCCTTTAAACTTCTCCCTTAAATCTCTGAATTCTTCGCTTAAACTCAATTTAAATACAACATCACTTTTTCCTTCTGGTATAGTGAAATCTTGATTTGACATAATTACAGAGATACGTTCATCTGGTTGGCTTGAAGTAATTGATTGATGAGCGGGAATTTGAGACAAAAATATATTATAATATTTTTGCTTTACAAAAAAATCACACTTGCGACAACCTGCTTGCGCAAGCTGCGCAGGTGTTATTCCATCATTAAATAACTTGTGCAATCTGTCGCACCCCAACCTATTTTTCTGTTCAGCTTTTTGATCGATATTAAGCTTATTTCACATAAAAGAGATCACCCAGGATTTTGTATTTTTAATTTCTAATCTTTCAGCAAGCATTGAAAGATCATCATAAATTTGAACTAATGATGCTAAATGTAGCAAATTGAAAGACTCTGACTCTATCACAAGGCTTTCACAACATAACTCCTGTTTTTTCCATTGATTAATTCTGTCCATAACGGACTTCTCGTCGACAACTGTAATTTTTTCAGCCATTGACAATTCAGCCAAGGCGTTGAATATCGCAGAAGTTTTTGATGGTTCTGAGGTAACGAGATGCTCATCATTTGATGCTAACAAAATATCACGTAGTTTCTTTTCCTTCTTAAACAAAAGCATTTGGGCAGAATTCAACTTTTCTTTCATAATAGTTTTATCATCATGGTCACTTTCATCAACATTCTCATCTGAGGAAATTTCAATACAGTTAAGTTTACATTTTCTTACTAATGATGTTGATGTAGATGCTAGTTCTTGAGATTCTTCTAACACTTCTGAAACTAATGCTTGTGATTCCACTAGCGTTTTCATTTTTGAAGTTTGTGTTTCTACTACTACAAACACTTCTGCACCGGGTACTTTTTCTGCTAATTTCAATGTGGGTGATCTTACTGATGCCTTTGTTGACAGTGCTTCTACTGATACTTTTTCCAGTACTGCTACCGGTGAAGCTTGTATAGATGAATTCAATTTGGTACTTTCATTATCGGCGCTTTTATTAGCTATCGGTAACACTTGTGGAGGTGAATTCAATTCATTATTTTCATTAGCTACCGGTGACGCGTTCAGTTTATCACTTTTATTAGCTACAGGTGACGCTTGTAGAGGGGAATTCAATTCAGCACTTTCATTAGCTACCGGTAGCGATTGCGAAAGTGAATTCAATTTGGCACTTTCATTAGTTACTTGTGGCGCTTGTAGAGGTGAATTCAATTCAGTACTTTTATGGTAGCTTGATTCTCCTATTATAGAGTCTGAATTTGCAATATCAGCAGTCTGAGAATTATTATTACCTATAAAATTAAGATGTAAATTATTATAAAGTTTTGTAATCAAGAATAATTCTATAATTGACAAATATTGATTTACAGAAATTATTAATTTTTGTTATCCAGCTATTAATATAATAATAATAATTTTTCATCATATTCCAACTGCGATAAGCTGGCAATGTCATGCTGGCCCACGTTATATCTGAAATAGTAATATTATTTTTTATGTGATTTTGGTTACCAAATTTTTCAATACATCGCAGATTTAAATTTGCCCAAATATTTTCTGCTGTATCAAAAGTTGTGAGATTGTTCAATGCCAAATCACAGTTTATAACGCGGGCAAGTTCTGAGTTATTAGACTCGCGATATAATGATGAGCGAAGAGTTGATGTTGAAGATTCAAAGGGGAATGTTCGGGTGTTGAATAATTTAACAATTGTTTTAAGGATTCATCAACATTAGAATCAATATCAGCTGTACCAGCTGTGTCACTTGAACGCGTATTTTCTGCCATTACTGGAGTAGAGTACTTTTGCAATTTGTTCTATTATTAGAAATTAACAAAAAAAGGTAAGATATAAATTTTATAAATTAAAAATTAATATCATTTTTATACTTTACCTCTAATCTAACATTATGATTCAAAACTAATTCGTATTTACTTTTATATGATTCATATAGAGACTTGTAATGCTGAAGTTCAGCCAGATTATCCTGAAAAAATAAAAAAATAAAAATAAAAATAAAATTACAGTTGTCCAGGAACAAAAAAAAAGACGAAAAAAAAGGTGGACAAAATTGTCCAGAGACGAAAAAAAAAGCGGCAAAAATGAAAAAAAAAAGTGGACAAAGTTGTCCAGACGAAAAAAAAGTGTCTAAAACTGAAAAATGGACAGAAACAAAATAAAGGGGAAGAGGACAAAATTATCATATACCTTATTGATAAATGTAAAATNAAAGTCGAAAAAAAAAAGTGGACAAAGTTGTCCAGAGACGAAAAAAAGTGGACAAAGTTGTCCAAAACTGAAAAATGGACAGAAACAAAATAAAGGGGAAGGGGACAAAATTATCATATACTTTATCGATAAATGTAAAATTTGACAATGATTCCTCCAGATCAAAATATATACGACCTTCATTTTTTTTATATGACATTCTTACTCTATCTTGCTCGAAAATATACGAATCAATTTTTTTATCCACCTTTGTCCAAACAAGAGAAAGTGCTGTTGAAATTAAGCTTTCATCATCGTCAGGTAAATAAACTTTTTTCCCGCGAATTTTTGAATTGAGAACTGAACAGGGTGTTTTTAACATTTCTAATATATTTATTCAATATTTTAAAAGCTGATACTTTATTTTTTATTTTTAAAATGAAGAGGGAAGAAAGCAATTGGGGTACTAAAAACTGTAAAAACTGATATTTATTTAATTGATCAAATAATAACATTTGATAATGCGATTGTTTTAATACGTAATTGTATATTGTAATACGTTTGATAGAATGAGTTTGGTATAATGATATATATAATTGTGTATTGATTATGGCTGAATAATCTGATATATTATTATTATTTATTGGAAATAATATTCTCGTATTCTGGCAAGAAAATTTTTTTTCGCTTTGGTGAGAATATTTTACAAAAAAAAATGATCATGTGATGATGATCTACAGTCAATCATAATTTTGGCTTTTTTGGTATTGATATACTTTGACATCAAAACTCTTTATTTTTGACATGAAACTTTAGTTGTATATTCCGAATTATTTGCGGATTTGCGGATTATTTGCGGATTATTTGCAGATTTGCAGATTATTTGCGGATTTGCAGATTATTTGCGATTGCAGATTTGCGAATAATTATTCTTCAAAATCTGCAATGTTCTGCAATATCGCAAATCGCAATTAATCCACAATTAGGGTATTGCGGACACATCTTTACTTGAAGGTGATCAATATGTATACCAAGAAAATTTAGGTGGATTATATTCTACATGTAATGACTGTGATTATATGGTATTTGGAGATATTGGAGTAATTATTTCTGCCCATGTTATGAATGAATCTCTAAAGGTAAAAATAAATTTTATTAAAATTTGCAAGTATGAATTCTAATATATTTTATCTTATTAGAAACGTTTATTAACAAAATCACAAGAATTGCATCGATATATACGTTGAGAATATTTAAAAGAACTGGAGGTTACAGCAGCTGGTATCACAGTTCATAATTCCTGTATTAGTCATTGTATATAACATACCTTTGGAGACTGTAATCTTAATCATCCAATTACCTGTTCAAAATGTGAAAGTATTTTTAGTTTTTTTGAAAAATTAAAAGTAGCAATAAGTGAAGAGTATTTTGAAATTCTTGATGAATATCAGCAAAAACTCATAGCATGGATGGCACATCATGTCCGCAAATATACTTAAATATTCATGTATGAACAAATTTAGAAGAATTGGATGATGAAGGTGCTGTAATAATTGTAGATTACAAAATGAGAATATTACCTCTAAGGTTGCTTGTCTAAACCTCTTCAAAATCTTACGATTAGTTTCATCAAAATTTTACTATAGATTTATTATAGTTTCGGCAGAGTTTTGGCAGTTTCGGCATTTATAATAAGTTTCAGCAGTTTTGCCTTTCTCCAAAGTTTCACCAGTTTTTTAATATAATTTTAATATAGTTTCGGCAGAATTTCGCTTTTCGGCGAAACGCCATCTTGCCTAAACCCCTAGATTTCAGCAAGCAACCTTAATTACCTCAAAGTGCATGTGAGACCAAAACAGAGTTTTTTGAAAAATGCGGTTGGAATTTTCATTTTGTACTTGTATATACCAAAAATATGGAACAAAATAAACTGGATGTTCAAGTATTTGATCATTGGTCTAACAATACGTGCCAAGATGTATGGTTTACTGCATCTTCCCTCTATACTGTAATTGAAACATTGAATCCAAAACCCAAATGGATAACAATAATTAAAGATATTAGCCGTAATTCAAAAAAGTGTTGTAATACAAAATTTTTATATGCCGTAATTAATTAAGGCTATAAAAATCTTATAGCCGTAATTCAAAATTTTTTAAAAAATAATTAAGGCTAACATCTTTAACAATAATGTCAGATAATGGCATGCATTACCACTGTACAGAGTTAATGTTGATTATTGCATATTGGAAGGAGTGGTATAATAGGATAATAGAGGTCACCGTAAAATTTTTAAGATTTATATGTAAATTTACCTTACTCCAAATTTTCCTTTTACTAAGTAATTTTACTACCTTTCTAGTTACATTTTTAAATCACATATATTTTTACCTTACAAGTTCAGTAACATTTATAATTATAGATTATATAAAACATAATTTATTTTATACATTTGGTACTTTTTATTTCTTTTAAAATTGGCCTAATTTTTAGATATAATTATTTTAAAAAAATGTAAAAAAGTTCCTATTTAAAATAAGTTCAAAATTGATCAATAGTTACAAATATATATATTATTTTTTGACAAAAAAAAAATAAAAAAAATAACATTTATCCTACCTACCGCCTCAACTACCCACCCTTTCCGTTCTTTGTTTTATTTTATAATTTTTTATATTATACAGAATTCCATAAAAAATTCTTTATTTACATATTTATTTTTTTAATTTTACGTGTTTGTGTAATAAATTTGTACATGTCTGTATTTGTGTAATGAAATTTTACATGTCTGTGTAATAAACTTGTACTAAAAATAGTATAATAAATTTTACGTGTCTGTGTAATAAACTTGTAACTAAAAATAGTATAATAAATTTTACATGTCTGTGTAATGAAATTTTACGTATTCGTATAATAAACTTTGCGGTGCTAAAAATAGTATATACTAGTAATAAATTTTACGAAATCATAAATTTTACCTTATAATTACAAGTTACATTTTAAAATCCTGTTTAATTTTACCATATACTTAACAGTTACATAAAAAAAACTTACCACAGAATTACATTTACTTTTTTTAATTTATAAAGAATTTTACCTTATGAATTCAACCAGTTTTTTTTGACTTTTCTATGTAATTTTTACCTTAAGCTTGTAAGTAACCTCTATTAGAAGTAAGCAGTGTTCTGCTATAATCCATTCAACCAACAATGTCGGAATGTTTATACGAAGCATAGCTCATTTTAAACCATCTAACTTAACTGAATCAAATGCCTTTTTCATGTCTTATGTGAGGACCCATAGTTCCTTTTTATTTTTCCTAGCATCCTTAATAAAATTGTTAACTAGGTGTATTGGTTCATTTGTGCATTCTCCTGGTAAACTGCAATAGTTGTAGCCCTGAAGTACATTATATCGTTTCAATACAGAGCTCAACCTGTTCATGATCATCTTTGTAAAAGTTTTTCAAAAACAATCCAATAATGCAATAGGTTGAGTATTCAGAATGTTGTATTCAAAGTTGATGAGCTTAGGTATGGGGAGAATGACTGATGTTTTCCATGCCATGGATACAAGTCCAGTTTGTAGCGTCAAGTTTCTGAATTTGACCAAAAGGTGGACTAATTCCTCAGGTAATTGTGTAATAATTTTATAATTAATACCAGACAACCCTGCAGCTGACTTTTTATTTAATTCTTTAACTGTCTTGTTTCATTCTTCTTTAGTGATCTTCTCTATTGTAGATTCAATCGTCTCTTTGAATTTACCTGTGGGTTCGTAAATTTGTTGCCAAAGCGGTATCATTGTTTCCAGTAGAGTGTTTCTTTTCCTAATAAACATTCTCACAAAATCATTGTCCACTACTTTCTTAACTTCACCCAGTTCTGTAGCCAGTCTCTTAGTCAAAATTCCTGGTTTCTTGTTTACTAGCACCTTATCTATAATTATATTAGTGTGAGTGTTTCTATCTAATAAATTTGACAGCCATGTTGTTTGATCTTCTCATATAATTTCTACTCATTTGTCTATTTTATCTTTAATAAACTTCGTTTCTGCTGATTTATATTTTTTTGTAATCTGCTCTTAATAAGCGATAATTCACTTTTGTTTTAAGAGTGTCAAACTATTCTTCCAAAAATATATCATGTGTGTCTATGTTATACTTGTTATTGTCATCGATTGATGTAACATAGTCTTGATTATATTTGGCAATTTTAATTGTTTATTGAGATTTGGCATCCTCATTTGTAAGTATTCGTTGACTGCTATAGTAATAGTTATATAATAATTGAAGCAATTTATTTGTATGTCATTCCAGTCTCAATTTCTTTTTGTTAAACTGTTTAAAGGTATTATGAAGTCTGAGAACTTTTTTAGGGAATTTTATATCCACTGCATTTATTATAATGCCGTTGAGTTTTTTCCAATATTTATCTATATCTTTCTGGAAATACTCTGCTAGGTTGACTCTATCTTCGAGAAAATCTTAATCAAGATTATTTAGTTGATTTTTTATATTAAGCCAGAAGTTATCACACGTTTCTATTTCGATGTTATCACAATTGTATATAACTCTGATGTGGGCATTATCAGTGGGTAATTTATCATATACCGTATTTTTCCTGTTATTCCGTATGAGGGCTGAGGTGTCCATGGTTAATGTAATAATATCATGGTCACTGCTTGTGATGAATGTTGAAGGAGTAATTGAAAAATTTAACAGTTTATTACTGTAGATTTTTGATACCCAAATTTGGTCTATTCTCGTGCTAACATCTTCTTTATGACAAGTGTTCCCTAGTTCCTTTTTATTAAGTTTCCTATATAAATCTATAAGATCTAGTATTTCAAGATTGTTAAAAAATTTGGGTCTTGAGATATGTTATGGTGGAGTTCGATTTATATGACCGTTTGTAATCAAATTAAAGTCTCCCATTAATATGTATACTATATTATTTGATTTTTTTCTTATAATTTCATCACACATTTCTTTTTTAAATTGTTCAAGGGTATTGTGAAGGATTGTTGGTTTTTTTTGTTGGTGCTATGTAAATAATTCAGATACAGAACAAAACATTTCTAAATAAAAGGTATATCGAGAGTAGATATAGTGAATGGATTTTATGTCCTTAATAATGTTTGTTCCATTTCCTTGAACATATTAACGTAACTTCTGATCCCTTATTTTTGTTGTATTGTTTACTTGACTAATAAATATAAAACTGTTCTTTAAAACTATCAGGCATTTTGAAAAAACTGTTCCTCTGATTTAAATTGGTTTCATTTAAAGCCATAATGTCCACTTGGTTTTCCTGCATCCAATTTAATATTCTATAAAGTTTTGCATTGTCTTCTGCCAATCCATTAATATTGTGAGTTTCA